CGCACCGAGTAGAAGCGAGGCCCAGTCGTGGGCGGTTGTTCGATCTCTTCCCGGGTCCTCTGTAACCCCCCCAGCTTAGGCCAGGAACGCGCAGGTGCGGCCCTGTTTTTGTTCAGCGGGTGTTTTGCTGGGAGGTTTCTGGTCTCCTGCGGCTCGCCGGTGGGTCAGACACCAGCGGGGGGGGCAGGCAGCTCAGGAGGCCCCTGCTCGGTCACGAAGGGGCTTCACTGGGACAGCTGAGCCCCGCCTGCCTCGTAGCGCGGGCCGTGGGCTTCTGTCCGAAAATCCCTGCAGTGAAAGCGTATCATTCCCATAAACCTTCGATTAATTCTGTCAAGCACCGAAATACGGCATGTGATGGTAGGCTGAAGATACGTTCGAAGGAAAATCTTATCTTTGCATTTCTTATGGCTACCAGGCTACAATTTCTCAAGCTGAAAGCAATCAGGAAGAAAGACTGTTTTAAGACAACTGGCTGTTTAATATTCTGTGGAATCTGGAACGTATTTATTTTATTGTAGTTGCATTGGAGGTTGCTTCCTGTGCAAATGTATTGTTGGCTAGCATATATTCATGAAATTGGAGGTCAAAATATGTGGAAAAATTTCTAAAGAAATAAGTATTGACCTAAGTTGTAGATGGAAAATTAAAATGGTCTAATAAGACTTTTTTTTTAGGCGAACCTAGGAGTTAAAGCTTTCTAGATGAAAACAGGAAGATAAAGGCTACTGTTGTATATACAGGAAAGGTTATATAAGAGCAAATTGGTGATGGGGGAGTATTTATTCTCCTTTTCCAGAGTGCATCTCTCCTTCCCCATACACTATCTCTTGCAGTTGTTCAGCCCTCTATTAAGATAGTTTTTGTTTGTTTCACGAGTTAAACATATAATTTTTTCTCAGTAATATTTTTGCTGGTCTAGTGAGTTGAATTGGCTTGTGGGGTGTTGGACAAGCACCAGAGCTAGTGTGTGTGAAGTGGTACATGTGTGTCAGGGAGTAAGAAAAGGAGGAGCAAGACCTTCCCATGTCAACAGCAGTGAACTGTAGAGCAGATCACCTCACCTCCTGAGTTAGGTTGTCTGTTGGTTGTTAGAAGAAGTTAAAAATTGTTATTGTTCTGTATGGATGCTTCTTTGCATCCAAATAGGTTTGTTAAGGTCCAGTGAAGGAAAGTATTTAATGAATCAGGACTTAAATACTGCTAGTAAGAAGTCAGGAAATTATTTCAGACTTAACAGTGTGCCACCATATTTCTCTCAGCATTTGTACACCTTGTAGTTTATTCTTTGTTTCACTTCCCTTGTCTTCCATTTGAAAATAGTCCAGCACTCAGAAATAATCAAGAGCTTTGTTAAAAAAACCGAATTTTTCTATGGTGGATAAGACGGAAAAACTCTGCTTCATAAAGACAAACTCAGGTGGTATCATCTCTTATCGGCAACAGCTCGTGTTATTCCAAGCTACTTATACTAAGAGCACTCTGCAGAAAGTTTGCTAGTAGTTCTAAGGTTGAGGCCATGTTGTTTTGTTAGGACAAGTCCTCTTCCCAGGGAACAGGGCTTATAACATGACTGTGCTCGTTTGCTGCAGGGTGGAAGTGGAGAGAGGGTTATTCACAATGCCTAAGAAACACAGCCGTCCTGGCCAAATGCCCCATATAGGTCTCACCTTTCCCGAGTTCAGGTGATTCCTGTCTTTCCTCCTAGACCATTTCTGTGGGACTCTGTCTTGCAAGATCTGAAAGAAGCTGCATGTTGCTCTTTCCTTTAATGGCAATAAAAAATGCCAAATATTCACCCAGCTGTGGAAAACAGCTCAGGTGCTGAGGTTTTATGACTCTGTTAGAGAACCCATAGTTAAATTTTGATTGATGTCTTGTAGCAATGAAAGTTGTGCGGAAGGGTTTGAAAGCTCTTCTGAAGTTGATGGTGATTTTTACAGAGAAGGCAAAGGGACTACTGCCTTGGCCTTCAGTTTTCATTTTTCCTTTTTTTTTAAGTTGATTTTGCAAAGTTGTAAATTATTGTTGGTGGTTATAATCTTGTAGTGATTTTTACAGAGAAGGCAAAGGGACTACTGCCTTGGCCTTCAGTTTTCATTTTTCCTTTTTTTTTTAAGTTGATTTCGCAAAGTTGTAAATTGTTGTTGGTGGTTAAAATCTTGTAGCCCAGCACGACTCATAATTATAAATAAATAGCATTTATTAATTGTTTTTCCCCTCACTTTTCGTATTTGTAATTGCTCTTAGCATTCATTTGATAAAAGGGAAGGTAGTCTTGCACCCAGAATGTATCTTTCTACTTTTTTCATAAATTCCATGTATATTTTCATACATGATTTTTGCTTGACACCTAGATTGTAGCAGTCTGACTAAGCAGTCTTCCAGTTGCAAGCCTACAGTAAGGAACTGATGCGTGAGGTTGTGGGAGGGTTGGGGAGGGGGAGAGAGGGAAAGATCAGAGGGGAGTTCCAAGTTTCCACAAGATTATAATCACAAATGAGTGAAGAGCGGAGACAGATGGGAAACAGCTGAAAAGGTCATGCAGAAAAGGTAGTACTAAAGTACAGACACTTCGCTGTATAGAACGGTGTAGGTGGTATCTGAATCATCTTTGTGCAGCTTTACTTTCAGATCCATTATAAAAGCTCTGGTGGAAGGTAAATAGCAGCTGTAATCTTCTGTTGATTTGTGCTTTCTCTGTTTGAAGGCTGAGGTGGAGGAAACGCTGAAGCGAATTCAGAGCCAAAAAGGAGTGCAAGGAATCATTGTTGTTAATTCTGAAGGTACTGTATCAGTCTCGGTTTTCTGAGGTACAACTTAATCTAAACATGCACTTTAAGGACCGCTGATTGTACTACTTGTGTTTAGGTTACAGTCTGTCTTTAGCAAAGGTTTTCCTGTAGCCAAAGCAGATAGACAATAGTTAGGCTACAAGAGAAAACTGGAATCCTATTTCTGCTTTTCTGCAGAAAAGTTTAGGAAATAAATTAAAATAAATTGCAAAAGCTTAGAAATATTTGAGTTATGCCGGTGTTTGAGACTCTGTTCTGTCAAAGCCTTTATCAGTAGCACTAAAAGCTCTCATGACATCTGAAATCTTGCTGCTGTGCATGTCCAGAATGCTGCTAATGCTGCTGTCTTGGCAGGCTGGAGTAGCTTAGCAGCTGTCTCATGCTCATGGCCTCATGAGACTCATAAGCTAGCTGTCTCTTTTTGGAGTCATTGAAGGGTCCAACAGAGCAGGCTTCTTCAGAGCACTCTAAATACACTGTGAGCAGCCCAGCTTCTTAAAATTGTGTGATTATCAATTTAAATTGAATAGTTCCTAGAAATAATCCTTAGAAAAGATGACAGATAGTAGCTATATATGAATATATTGAAGACCAGATCATTGCGTACTTGTATGCAGCTTGTGTTCCTGCTCGCTGCTTTTTTGTGATAGTAAATAATGGATTGTGCTCTCCAGGCTGAAGCTGTGCTTATTTGAACATACACCTGTAGCAGTTTTTCTGCCAAGCCAGTATTTGGTAGTTGGCTGCTGCATTGTTCTGACATGTGAGCTGAATTTTGGCTGGCTTTTTGTGGGAAAACATATCTAATGGGTGGCAAAAGTATAAGGGAGGGAAAGCTCTGGCCAAACAGTGTCGGTGTGTCTGCCCTCTTGGCTGGTGCACAGGAATTGAACCAGGGACTTCGCAGGACTGCATCAACTCTTATGGCTAAACGTTGGAGCCTCAGCTTTGTAACTGTGTGATGCAGTAGCTGATGTCCTCTATAATCAACACTGATCCCAGCCTAGCTTACTTGAATATCATGTAATTGTGATGTTCAGGAGCCTTTCTGAAAGGAAAAGCTGTCCCCAGTCAGGAGAACAAAATTGAAACATTGATACTTCCTCTCTCCCCCTGCCCTGATATTTATTTTGTTATTATTTATTTCTAGTTATAAATCTCATAAATAAACAAATAAATGAAAAAGCAAAAGTAAAGTACTGATGCTACTAGAGGTAAACAGTTCTTCTCACCTGCACCTGTGGTTCCAGTTCTTAGCCTTTCCACATCTTATTTCTGTTCATGTTCTTCTTTTAAGCCTTTAAAAAGAACACTCCTAATCCCTGGTGTAGCGACAACATCTGCTTAGGTTAAATAGCCACGCCATGATGATGCCCAAGGTGGAGTTAGTTCTGGAGATTTGTCACCAACTCTTGTTGTCCCCTGTTTCTTGCAGGTATTCCTATCAAAAGTACTATGGACAACTCCACAACGATTCAGTATGCGGGCCTCATGCACAGCTTCATCATGAAGGCACGGAGCACTGTGCGAGACATTGATCCCCAGAATGACCTCACGTTCCTGCGGATCCGCTCCAAGAAAAACGAAATCATGGTTGCACCAGGTAAAAGCGAGTGGGGTGAAAGCAGGCATTACGGAATCCAGCAGAATTCTTTTCTCGTGAGATTGACACTGTCAGCCTGAGAGAAAAGTTCTGCCTGCTGCTTTTATTCATATTGTATAATCTCTTTTTTTCCAAGAAGCTGTTTTGCTTTCTTCAGAGTTGAAAGCTTTTATCATTGACCTAAGTTTCCTTTTTCATGTTTGAATGTGAGAAATCACTTTCCTCATTTCGTGTTGGTCAAAGTAGAAAGTGTTAAATAGTGTTTCAGAGCGTGTTGCAGCCTCTCACGCTTTGTGTTTTTCAGTGTAAAACCACAAGAGTTGGAAAGGAATATGTTTTGAGAGCAATTTCAGTTCAGCACTGTAGACTAAGTGACAAAGCAAAACAGTCTAATAGATTTTCCAGTTCAGAGAAAAGTAATAGAGCATATTGTAGCTGTAATCATGAGTCGCAGACTATAGCAGCAGCAACCTTCTTTTTAGTAAACGTCCTCAGTATTTCATCAAATTATGAAATGGGAAGCAATGAGATCAGTACAGTTCACTAACGTGGCAGGAACTCAGCTTTGTTCCTTCATACTGCATCGGCTCCGTGGTGGGATTGTGCCGATGGAGAGGCAAAGGAGAGGATTGCAGTTGCAGTAGACTGCTCTGCAGGGACTGGTCAAGGCAGATCTCGGGACAGGCTCTGGGGTTGAAGCTGAGGCAGCCTCTGATTTCCATATGAAAGGTGGAAAGAGAGGCATAAGGGTTGCTCCAGAAAAAATGCAGCTACAGCCACTGCAGCCCAGCAGTCTGCCTGTGAGATGAGGGAAATCACTGTCTTGCACCACCTGTTTTGATTGCATCATTGCATGTGCCAGTTACTGTTATTTCCTAGGCACAAACTGAGTTAAATTCAATTGGCTTGGGAGCATGCAGTTTCTAAAGCTGAGACTTTTTCTCACTAAGACTCATAAAAATAAGTGATCTGACATGCCAAGCCTGTTTTGCTCATTGAGAATGAATGTCAGGACTCTATAGTTCCCATAGTGTTATCAGTGGGATATGAAAAAATGTTGAAATTTACTGTTGCTGTGAACAAATATCAGCAATGAAAGAATAATGTTTTTTTTTTTCCTCCAGATAAAGACTACTTCCTGATTGTCATCCAGAATCCAACTGAATGATTACACTGACTTGGTCTGGTTTTTTCCCTTTGCCCAACTGTTTTTTTTAATTTAATGGTAAAGAATAGAGCATTAGTGTTAACTCTGCTTGCCACTTCAGTAATGTCTGGAAAAACAAAAGCAGGTGGTTTTGTTGTTTACAAACAGAAAAAGTGGCTTTTTTTTTTTGTATCACAAGTCGTTTTGAGGAGGAGTTGGTGAATTAGAATCAGGTAGTAAAAAATGCAACAGATTCTTTTAATAGTTAAGAAGATAATATAATAAAATTCTAATAATGTTCTAAAAAAGATTATTCTTTGTATGTTTCCATGCTTCTGTCACCACTATTTGAGATATGCTTCTACACTATTACTTTTGAATGACTGTAAATATGAAACTTGCCTATCCTCTAGTTCTGTCTTACTCTGTTGGTTTTACAAGTTACTTTGAAAAAGTCTGGCCATATCAAATTAAAAAGTGTCATCAGTGACTGTTTTTGTCTTACGTGTTTTCCTTCTGAAGATTTTAATTATTCTCATGAGTGATTGAATATTTCTTCAAAAAATAGAACCTTCCTAGGACTACTTTTACTCATCTGTTTCTTTCTCTAAACAAGGATTTAGTCTAAGTGCACGTGCAATGTAGTCATGATTGCCTGATATGTTGGAGCATTTTCCTACCGCTACCTTTTTGTTTCAGACAGAGAAGCGTTGCGCCTAAGTAAGGCCATGAAGACTGCCTGTTTGATCTGGTACCTTCCTTTAGTAATTTTTTATTGATGGCCATTAAGGACAAAAAAAGGTCATCTGGCTCCTCCAAAATAATAAAGGGGTTTTGTAGCCTTGAAATAGCCTTGTAATTGCATGCAGAGCTCAAGAATTTGTGCGAAATGTCTGCATTGAAGATGTTTGTCACGTGTGTGACAGACACAACTCTGGCTTGTACTGAAGAGTCTTAGCGATGTGCAGAACGTCATAGCCTAGCCCAGATTCAAAAATTATGCATATTGTCTTGCACTGCATTTTCCTTGAGTGCTCAGGTAGCTCAATACAGCGAACTGCTACAGCAGGGAGCGGTGCTCAGAGGGCCTGGCTCCTTCCCCAGGCTCGTTTGTCCCACAGAGGAGGGGGGCTTGCAGGTGGTGTAGCTGCCTGCTTGTGCTTCAGCCTCCTCACACGTCTGGCCTCGGACTGCTTGTGATGGAAGTGTGTTACCAGGCTGAAAAGGAGTTTCTCCCGAAGTGGACCTGAGCAAAGAGGCACAGCCTACAGGCATGAAACGCACTGTACAATTAAAGAAAGAACCTTGATTGAGTAACTGCAGTTTTATTAGGGGATGCTGTTTCTTGTGCTGGTGAGGGATCCTGACTCATGTATCTCTGTTAGCAGAAGTGTATAACCCGTGTTTAGCCCTGCTCTTTCAAAGTTACAAGCAGTAGTAGGAACATGTGATACTGTCCAGTTCTACACCGAGGAACAGACTAAGAATTTCTGGGTGATCTCAGCAGGTTAGGGGGTATTCCAGGCAATTGGCTGCAGTGCAGTTTTGGAGTCTTTCGTAAAAATGTCGGTGTTGGCTTGGACCCTTTTCTGGATTTCAGGGCACAAAGTGATGGGGTGGGTATGCGGTGACTCAAACAGCTAAGATAACCTGTATGTTCAGCGTTTGTTTTCTGTGCATTTTCAGACTTGGGCATTAATTTATAGACTGTGTCTAATTTTTTAGGTAGTGTTTATGAGCATGAAGGTTAGAAATGCTTTTTGAGATCTGTAAAGTGGTCAGTCCTGCAGCATCTGGGTGAGGGTGCTTTACAGTATTTTGGGTATCTCAGCTGTCATCGTGATTCAGTTTATGAACTGTTTCTCCCATCAGCATATGTCTGAGCACGCTAAATTGGCGTAGCCCTGAGATCACATTTTGTGCCAAGAAGTGACTGACATAAACATCCATCTCCTCGTCATAGAAAACTGACAGATAACTCGCATAGCGTGTATTCACTGCCCCTTTTATTACTGAATCTTGGTTTAAGCCATGCCATCAAACCAGTGAATAGGGCCTGAAATCATGCTCTGCGTTTGGAGTAGTTCCTGATACACAGCAGCTGTATGTGTACTGCATGTGATCTGTCATAATTTAATTGAACGCTGTCTCCAAAAAAATGATCTCCAGCAAGCTGAAGTCTCTGGATAATAACTGAATAGTGAGGCAAGGCAGAAGAAAAATGTGACTTCAGTCCTCTTATCTTTTGTTGTTCATAGCCAGAGAAATGTTTCCTGGAAGGTGGTGACCTGCTTATGTATTTTGGCTTTCCCTAGTAGGTGGCAGTGTTACTCTCTTGAACAGTGAAGAATTTCTTTAGCGTCCTGCGTTCTTTTGGACACTTCCTTTAAGGATAGCTGTCCTACCAGTGGTTTTGTGTCGTATCTGAGATTGGGAGTGAGTGTTGAGTTTTTTGGGTTTTTTTAAACAAGCTGTAATAAATAACCCTATTGCAAAACAAAGATCATGCACATTTTCTGCATTGTGTTGAGACCATAAACTTGCAGTGAAATTACTGAGTTCCTATTATATGCTGATTGTTTGGGGTTTTGGAGGGGGCTTAGGGGTTGGTTTGGGGTTTTTTTGTTAGCAGTCTGGCTTGAAATATACTCAGGTCTTGAAGAAGCTGGTTTGGAGTCTGGAGGAGCTTGTCAAATCCATCTGGTCAGGGCAGAGCCTTACTTAGGCCATGCTAGTGCTACCTTTACACTAGCATTCAAAGTTAATTCAATTTTTTTTTAAAAAAGGGGAAGGGGCGGATGAAGCTGAAGAACAACAACTTCCAGTTAGATACTTACTATGGAGAAAAAGTGTCTTGTTTGGATCAGGAGCATCAGAAAGTCACAGAGATCTGACCGGAAGCAATTCCTCTGTATGCAAGTTAGGGGAGGGTTTCACTTTTCCTAAGTTATCTTCAAGAGGGTCAAGAAAGAGATGGGATGAAGTTCTGCTTCTTGTCCTGTGTTTGCTGAGTCTGGACCTAGTTATTCATATGGTAAAATTATTGTCAAATTGAGGAAGAATAGAAAAATAAGCATTATGGTTCTAGTCCTTTTTTCTAGCCAGAAAGCATGACAAGGTGGTTCAAAGGAAGGCTGGAATAACCTTTGCGATTTGTGCCATAGAGCTGCTTTGTGTTGTGGTTGGAGACTGGCCTAATTTGCTGTCTTGGAGAAAAGTTTTGATGGATCCCACTCTGAAGGCAGAGAAGGCATTTGCTGCTGAGATGTGGAAAACAAACCCTAATGCATTAACAAGCTAATGAAAGGAAGTTTGAGGTACGGCTCTGGGCTGCGAACAGCAGCACTTGAGGCCCAAGGACGTGCTCGCTTGTGCTGACTCTGCTCCGAGATAAGGGTCTGGCAGAGGAATGGAGGTGATAACATATTAATACTGCAAAAGCTAGGCTTGTAGAAACTCATCTTCTATGGATCTTGGAGCAGCTCTTTTAAGCTGCTCCAGCTTGTGTTTGCTCCAGCGCCCTCCCAAGCAACTCTTCATCTGCCTGAGGTGGCTGAGCTCTGATTGTGCAGTGCTCCTCTTCACATAGGGGACATTTATGTTTGATCTTGTCTTAACACTTCTGTTATGTATAGCTACATCTATGGGGGATGAAAGTCTGGCATAGATGGTTACACCAATATAGGCTGGCCTTGTGTTAGTAGAGCTAGAGCAGCTCCTTGAACCAGTATAATCTGTAGGAAAAGCTGTGGCAGCTGGGGTGTGCAGGGGCAGTGAGCACTGACAAACACTGCCGTGTCAGCAGAAGCCTGAGTATCAACACGATTTCTGTGGACAACAATACACTTCCTTTACCAGCATGACAGGATTCTTTCGGGGGGATTTCCCTCTGCTAGCGTGGTTTCGCAAGCATCCAGGGGT